AAAAAAAAAACATGCAAAATAAAAAACTAAGTTGAATAAAATTAACTTGATGAATTCTACTACGTAAGAGCATGCAAGATAGAGAACAATTTTAACTACGGGGTCATCTTTGTCTTCTCCAACGTCGATCTGAAACAGATACGGTGGTAACAGATTAATAAGGAGCAATTAAAATTAATTATAACAAGTATTCTCACCTTAATTAACTGTAGACCGTAATGTTCCAAAGTTTGCAGGTGTGAAAAGCAAATCAAATCCAAGAGGAATGCCAATGCAGAAAATTTGTTATTTCAGTAGAATTCGCATAAATCTTCAGTTGCTCTCACTCATCCCTTGAAAATCAACTGCTTAACGTTGCAAGGTGAAGACGAAAACAGCAAAGGCAGCACCATTGTAGATATTATTTCAGTACCATCACAAACTGAACTTTAATTCTCTCCCATTTGTCAGATGATCTGTAGAGATGGGCAAAAAAAAAGTATTAGTTTTACTATCAACTAAAGAAGGAAAGTTTCAATTAAGTAAAATATGTAATATAATTAAAAACATGCACAAAAATGAAAGCAAAACAGCTGATTATAAAATGGCGACGAGATGTCAATTTTATTCATGTCATAGATTAATGTTAAAGGCTATAGAAATAACCGTAGATGTACGATGTCAATTTATACAGTGGACTATAGATAGTTAAAAGAGAACCCCATAGATGCACGATAACATCGATTTATTCTGCAAACAATAGATAACTGTTAGAAGTAAAACCATAAATGCCACAGATGGCAAATTACTATGAAAACCAAGCAACTTCAATATAATAGAAAAGCAATTGCTTACCTGGAAGATTACTCTACGGTACTCGAGATTTATTCCTAAGCGTTGATAAAGAGATGTCTCTGCATGTATTTTCTAAAAATCGCACCATTCACAGCTAAGGGGCTCGAACATTAAAGGGGCTCCAATTCTCCTGGTTTTGAATCCTTTTTACTTTTTGTCTCCTTCATTTAATATGTTTAATTGGCATCCTGTTGAAATAATTTAATGTGAGCTTCATTATAAATATCATGTTTTAAAATATTAAGAACCATAACTAACACTAATCAAATAGTAGACTATTAAAATCAATACATAACTATTGCAGTTCAGAAGTGTAAAAATTTATAGTGGTAATTATTGTCAAACAAATGGAATACAAGATTTGAAAAATCATGAATCATCACATCACAACTTCATAAAATTATTAAAGATTTCTTACCCTTACTCTTTCTACAAACGACCCATTTCCATAACCACGCAAAACAATCATGATTGGAGATCTCGCTTCTCCACATTTCCCCTTTGATTTACCTTCTCCATGTACATTTATCATGTTTTAATATAAACCTGTTAAAACAATTTAAAATCATTAGTTATATGTTCACTAGATTTGTTATTATTTTATTATTAATGATAATTACCATTGTTAGCACCCTGTATCCTATGAATTTTTTGACCAGCTCATTACAAGCATTCTTGGAAATAAAAACATGTCTAGTTGCTACAAGTAGTTTGTCAATTGAATCCAAGGATATCATCTCAAAGCAAGTCTATATACAGAAAAAAAAACAGGTCGTTAAAACTCAATCTATAAAATAACAAGTGATTATTTAACAGAAATTTAGATTTTTAAAAGCAGAATAATAGTTTTCAGATTTACATTTCATATTTTGACTATAAAACGAAGGCAAATTTTCGCGGCGTGGTCACATCAATATGAAAAATCTACAATTATCTCCTAAATCTGTTTTCAAAATTCAAAGATTCTAATAAAACCCTAATTATTCAGCCTCAAATAAACTAAGAATATATTACAATTAACATTAGATGAGTGAACAGGCAAAACGCCAAAACAGACCTATGCTGGAGCACGAGGCCAACACGCTCATTCCCATAAAAAAAAATTAAAGCAACGCTAATTGAAACCAATCAAATGCTAAATTGAAACGCATTCCACTCAATCAAATGAAATTTGAATAGTTTTAGGGCTAAATACCTTCAGGTGTCGTTTCTATTTATGAATAGCAAAAATGGTGACGTCCTCCTTTCAGAAACCGAAGACAAAATGATGATCGTAAATAATGAAGACGAAACGAGCCGGAAGCCCATAGATGAAAACTTCTTCTATACCTATAATCCATTGATAATTGATTTGATAGGTGCGTTCAATTATACTAACTCAGTTTAATTCGTAAATTAATAGAAACTGATACACCATTACAGAAAATTATCCCAATAAAACTGCAAAACTTAGTGTATTTTAACTACTTGTATCAATTTCTAAAAATTAATACAGTCTTTCGAAGTAAATTAATTAAAAATAATATTAATGTGGACACTTCGTTAACATATGAATGGCGTATTCATGGGTGTATTTAAATCACGAATTTAACACATAATAATGTTTTGCATTAGGCAAAGCATCTTGCGTTACGGGTAAGTTAATATTCAGGGTAGGCCAGTACATGAGTTAGAACTATTTTCAAATCACGAAAGTACTAACAGTACTTTCGAATTGCTATTAATAGATTAATTGAATAAATGCAAATTTGTAGAATAAAATATTAATAAAAAATACAACGTGTAATTATTGAACACTGAAGTGAAACTTCTCCAAACACATAAAAATACAGGGATAGGGGTTAAGGAATTGGTTTAATGGTATTATTTGTATACTATACTTCGCACGGGTGCAATGCTGATAGTAAATATACTATATAATGTCTTTATATAAAACAATCACAGCTTTTTTGTCATTAGAAACCGGCCGCAACCGCTATGTCTCTGCATTTTAAGTCTGTAATGTTCATTTAAATTACATGCTGTAAAGGACCATATTGATCTATATTAAATGCAAAATGTATTTGAAAGTACTTAATTGGATAAGGATTAATGCTGTATTGCTTAAAATCGCTTCGTAAATAAGCCATTATATCTCGTAAAAAGTAAAGGATAAAAAATGGTTATTGTGGGTAATTCCTAAGAGATAGACATATTCCATCCCGGACTTTTTTGTAGACCTTTTTAAGGTGTACAAAACTGTAGTATATTATTTTGATCTATCTCGTAGGGTTCAGCCAGCGTTTGCAATGTAAGCGCAAATAAATGTGTTTATTTACATCACATTACAAACCTCTAAAATTATCAGTGTTTGTCTACTATATTATGCATGTATTATACATATAAACCTTCCTCTTGAATTACTTTATCTATTAAAAAAAAACCGTATTAAAACCAGTTGCATAGTTTTAAAGATCTAAGCATACATACGGAAAGACAGCGGGGAAATGCGTTGCATGATTTCGTTAGATAGCAACTCGCATGAAAGGAACTTACCCTACCGTGCGCAAAGAAGTTTCAATTCAAAAAAGAAATAGTTACGACAATATTGTTATCAATTCATGTAACAACAAGTGTATGCATTTCTACAAAATTTTACTGTTTAATTCTTAAAGTTGTAAATTAATTTTAAAGTTAATTCAACTATTAAATTTTGTTCTCCACACATACTTAAATAGATACATGAAGGACTATTAAAATAAAATGCAATGTTATCAGTTCATGTAACAAAAAAAAATACATTTTAGAATATGTATTCATTCGCACAAATTTTTCACTATTTAATTCATAAAATTGTAAAATAATTGTTTAGTTGTGAACAGAATGTGTAAACACGTACATACCCAAACTGGGGTTGATAAGAAAAATAAAAAGGTTCTTGACCGATGCAAACTTTCCGGTCATAGTAAAAATTAAAATTTTTTTTCCACAAAAATAGCGTTTTTCCGTAACATCATATTGCATGCCTTTGTAACTTTAAAATAGTTAAAGGCGATTTCAGGCCTTTTGTTGGTATAAAGATGGGAAATAATTCAATATCACAGCTAATTTTTCAATTCTTGTGCCAACGAAAGATGCATGACATTTTTTTATTTTCTTTGATATGCAATTTGAAAAGACGGATTTTTTAAAAATGCAGAAATAAATTGTAGACTAGATGTCTACGAAAAAAAAAACTATTACAAATTTCACCACCTGTTTCATATATATAAATATATAACTAAAAAACAAGGGTACATTACTTTTCTTCTGAATCAATCGCTGTTTCTGATTAAAAAGCATCCCCTTGACTAATATTTTACTTTATTACATTTCTATACTTTCACCACAATTTTATCAAATAAAGCTATCAGTTTTTTGTCCACACTTTCAACTACAAACATCTTTCTGTATCAGAAATCGTATAAAAAAAAATGTAATGTACAGGACACAAGGTAAAAATGCCCACATTAAAGAAAAATACGAAAGAAAGTGAAAAATATTCGCTTACGTCAACAGTAATAAATGTTGTAAAATCATAACTACTTTCATAGACTGCTTACGTGTCAAACAAAATTTAGATTTTATTAAAATCCTCAAATTTAGTTGTTTACAAATTTTCATTAGCACTGTAACATTTTTATATCTTTAACCAGACTACAGCGCACTCATTTAATTTCCCGTAAAGGTATAATAATTTAAAAAAAAAAACATAAATGCAACTTTCGTTAAGGCATAGGTTGGCCTCTTCAGGTAATTCAGCAATAGTGCAAAACCTTATGTGGCAGTGTATGTAAATAATTTTTTTTTTGCATTAAAAAGTAATATTGAATTCAACAGATGCATCTACTACAAATGAACAGAAAATCTAAATAATTATTATTTTTTTTAATAGTTTTAAGTTCATTAAACTGTTTAATTTTAAATTAAAAATGCACAAAAAGGTTGTAGTTATAAATAAATAAAATGTGAATGTATACTAACTTGACTACTAATTAACACATATTCGAATTGCAAATATAGATTATTAGTTAATAAGCATGAACATGCATAAATAAAATACCAGAAATTCCCCATACTGTACAATTTACTTTGTTTTAAATGGCTTGGAACTTGTTAGCCAAATAAATAAGTACAAAATAAATAACACTGTTTTATTCGGGATTTTAAGTATTTAGTATTTTATTTACTTTGTTTCATAGAACTTTTTTTAAGGTTTTTTGTATGAACGTAGGTACACCTATATTAAATAATTATCAATGAATTTTCTTCGATATCGTCTGATTTTTTTTTTATTTTATGTATTCCCACTGTAATTACCTACATAATGTGCTATGGTAAAGTACCACAAGTAGGGTACCATTCTACTAGTAAAAGCAAAATAAATGTCAATGTGCTCATCTTATTTACAAATCAAACTGTGCTGAAAAGCACAAAAAATACACATTAAATACACTAATAAATTAACAGAATACAACAACAGATAAAGACAAAGCAAATACCACAAACAATTGAAATTGACTGCAAAAACGTTCATTCATAAAATTCAAACAGTCCTACCTTTTGATCTAATTTAATCTTGTCCATACTGGTCACAGCCTTATTTTTCACCATACAATCGTTCCTGCGTAAACCCATAATAAGCACACATCGGCAGAGGCGCCCAAAGCAGCATCATTTGTTTGATATATTATAAGTATCATATTCTGAAAAAAAAAATAGAAAATGTCCTAACCCATGTTATAATACTGCAAAAAGTCGTATATAGTTCATAAATTAAACCAAATCTAATGAAATCAATTCTTTTACGAATAAAGTTTACAAAATCCCCATACCTACTTAACATCTATTCTACATTTCGATAATTCCATATCTTCCAGCAGAAATTTTTACACAAGAATCTTAATTTCTTACTTACGAAATTGACTAGACCAGTCTAATTATTTAACAACGAAAACAATGAAACAATAAACCATCAATAAACCACAATATAAACAGTTACTATTACAACCTTCACTTTAGTAACCTTGAATTCAAAGCGATCGTAATGTTCTCTACCACAGATAATTCACTAATTCACTTTCATAGATGGGAGATTATTTTATTAGATTTTCGGTAAACTGCTACAGAAATTACATCTATAGTGTTCATGCTACATATCATAGAAAAATACAATAGCGTAGCTATCATATGGTTAGAAGGTGCAGTGCACCTAAACCTCAAGCATCTAGGGGGCTCCCCTTCTAGCAGAAGTTTTAATTTCACATTTCATAATACAATTTTCGTAGCATACGCGGTACTATGATTGCAATGCAAAATAGTAAAGTTACCAACTCTCCATTTTTGGTCCAGAGACTTCATAAAAATTACGTTTTCTTTGGACTTTAGTTTATTTAAAATAATCTTCGGATTAAGTATATTTAAGAAATGAAAGCTTTCTTTAAGAATATATTACACACCTTCCATAAAAAAATATTGCATCATTCATTTTTAATTTTTTGGTTTAATTGGGAACCTAAAAATATTTGTGCACTTATTAGGTCCCTGATTATATAGCTACGCCACTGGGTACCTAGATATTTCTTTTGTTAATTTGAGTTTTTGAATTTAAATTGCTAAAACCAATTATTTTTCAGGAATAGAAGGGAATCAATATTTTTTGAATTATAATTATGCAGTACTGTTGAAAATGTATTACCGGAAACATAACGAGATCAAGTGTAAAAATTATGTAATAAAAAAATCAAGAACGATATCATTTACTCATTCAAAAAAATATTAAAAAAATATAACAAATTTAAGACATTGCATATTGTAAATAACACATTGTTTTATCAGTCCTATATATGTATCACTGATATAGTTCAAACGCATCTAAAATTTACAATTCGTACAAAACCATATGAAATGCACTTTTCTTTTGTTAATTCACCTACATAAGTAAAAAGGCTGTAGGAACATGCTCATTTCTAACAAATTCATTTTTTTTATAATTAATTTTTTGGTAGATACTAGTTGCCTATTTAATGAATATTTATAATTGAATACCTAGTATAAATAGAATAAAAACACATAAAAGGAAAAATTATTCAAAATAGACGCAAAAACCTTGTACCATTACTATACTTTTTTGTTTTCTGTTTTAAACGTAATTACAAGTTGTTATAAGCTTATTTGTTCCCACATTAATTAAACAAGCTAACAAAAATTAAAATAATTAAGTTCTTTTAAATTTACTTTGTCCTATTTTACACTCAATTTATCCCTATATGTACTTCAGCTGTATTACCGACCAATTTTTTATTAATCATAAGATTTGGTTTCTTGATCCAATATTTTGGGAATAGAATCTGTATCAGTAACTTTCACAAAAAAATATGAAAATCATAACCGGAAGTGAATTACCGTTGCTTACCATCCTACAGCCTTTGCATTAAAAAATAAAATTAATTATTGTTGAGTTAATATATGTATATATATCGGTCCCGTTAATACTTCGCGTGCAATGCTGGTATTTTTTAAACAATTGACACAAAAAATCATTTCTTTAAAAAAGTAGTGTACACGAATGTGAGTGGATGTAGAACATATGGAATATAAAAATTAAAGTCACTTCTAATTACCGAAGATAAATTTTAACGCATTTCTTTGATTCTAAGGTTGTTATTTTCTGTTTTGTCTATATATAGTTTTTATTTCTAATTTTTTGAGATTTCGTAATGTTTAATTCAACCTTTTCAAGAGGGTTGCACTCGAATTTGTTTTATATTATAAGTAATGTGTGTAAAAAAATTACTAAGTAGGAAATATAGCATTTTTACAAACGCACCTTTTTTTATAGCGAACTACTGGAATCGCCCGGAAAATGAATTAGATTTTCGCCACTGCAGGAAGGCGAGGGCGAAGCCCTACTTGCCGAACTAAAACTACTTGTTGAACTCAGATCTTCCGGGTCTCGTAACGCACAGTCTGTTGCCTGTTCTCCCCCTGAAAATCCCCAAACATCCCCTGAATTATTGAGAATACTTTACAAAAAATAGGTTTAATAACAAATCTGTTTTAGTTTACAACAAAAAAGAAAATGAACAAAATAATAAGTNGCTCACCCGCTAGAGTTGTTGTAAGTTTTAAAAGTAAATTGAGGTCCCATCCAGAGTCTCCTATGCGGACCCGCATGCGTTACAATCTCCACCTGCGAAAGCCATTGGTCTTCTTCATATGCAGGTTTCTTTGGTCTCTTTTCCTTACTCGAAGCTAGCTAATCTATAAACAAAATCAACTGTTAACTTACGTAAAAGATATAATAATAATATTAATAAAATTTCAAAATAAAAACGCCTTTTACACGTATGCAAGGTGATTTTTTAGTAATATACAAAAGCCGTATACATATACTCTTTAAGAAGGAATATTTTAAATTTAGAAAAACAACAGTACCTTTCCTGTTAAATTTTCATCAAGCCTGGGAGAAAATTGTAATTAAAAATTATGTAGTCTACATTATTACCATACTACTGATATCACTGCACCCTGTTTGAATTATAGTAATAAATTATAACACATGAAGAATACGTATAACATCTACCTGTTACATATATTCCCTAATAACACTACAAAAAAAATAAATACTATTAAATGGGCTCACTTAAAACTTATGGCAGCCATTTTTTAATGTTTAACATCTTACTGTTCGGTATGTGTGTATGTAGGGGTAATTTTTAGCTGATATTAGACATTCGAAGAGACAGAGAAAAAAGGTAGAAACTGGTAGAAAATACAGTTGTCAACCGTTCGATTTGGTAAACTTGGTCTTAAACAACTGTATAGCTTACGTTGTGAAATTATTATTTTTCAAGTTACCGACGTTAGATGTTATACATCACTGGCGACCACTGTTAAGGCTGGCATCTCTTTTATCAAAATAAAAAAAACTAAATTAATATTTAATACAAAAAAGGAAACAATGCCTTAAAACCTATTTAAAATATATTTTAATTTATGAACAGATACTTATCGTTAAATCATCTGAAAAAATACTGGAAAAGTGATTAAAAAACTTTTTGCAAAATAAAAAATGAAATTTACACATTCAGGCCAGTAAAATCATAAAAATTTTAATAAATTTACTGGCCTAAAAGTTTGTGGATGTAATAATCGAAATATTGTTTGTGATTTATAAGTAAGATAGATACTCTTCTATTTATAGCAAAAATAAATTCCCATTTCTTTTTTCCTTGAAAAATAAAACGTAAAAAAAAAACAAATTAATATCAAATGTGTATGTAGCTCTAATTACTTCTTTTTATTTCTTGTTTTTCGACGAGAAGATCGACTCTTTCCCTGCACCGTTTTATCATTTTCTTCCTCTTCTTGGAGCTCCTCCTTCTTTTCAATTGCATTCCCTATCAAATCGACTCCATTTTTCCCTGAATCGTCACTGCTCTCTGTGTTCTCGTCCTCTGACGATTTATAGACTTTCAGCATGGAAGAATCGCTATCAACTGACTTTTCACATTGAAAAACGTTACATGAACTCCAAGGATCGTCCCGTTCATTCATCAACTCGATTAGGTCATATTTATCAGTTATTTTTTCATCCAATGGTGGCAGTTCGCTGACCAATTGCTGTACGTTTTCAATATCGGGTAAATCAAGAAGAGCCGTAGGCAAAGGTGGAAGAGGATTGACAATAGGTTGAGGAATGACTGTATTCATCGAAACTACGCTGCTCCAAGATCTCTTGGGCAAAGTTAAGGTAACTTCCACGTCCGGACAATAATCCGATTTTTCGTTATTGTCTGCTTTTTCTTCGACAAAGGTGCTATTATCTTTAAGTTTGCTAAGTCTTACACCGAGCTTCGGTTTCGGTTTGCGTGTTTTCTTTCCGTTACTTTTCTCCTGTTTTTCAACTTTTCCCTTTTCTTCTTCGCCAGAAGAGAAAGGAGCGTCTTTGATCTCAAATTCGTATTTGACTTCCTTTTTTGCATTGCTTACTACTTCTTCTTTAGGTTCAGTAAATGTTTGTGGTATGATGCCATTTAATATAACAAGATCGTTCCCCTCAGAAGATTTTTGATTATTTTCAACATCTTCAGGCACATCTTCTGCTTTTGTTTTCTTTTTTGGTCTTTGCTGCTGCGGTTGCTTTATATTTGGTTCACTATTACAATTTTTATTTTTCACATTCAAAAGCTCTAAATCGGGACTAGTAATCCTTTCATTGTTAACGTTAATTGTATCGATGCGGATTTTTGTTGCCACTTGTTCCTTTTTTTTTGTATTCTCATTGACGGGATCATCTTTCCGTTTCAAATTTGAATAAGTTTTAGTGACGACTGGGAGCGACTTTTGCACATTAGTAACAGCTTTGTGCGAAACGATAGGCCTAAACAATGCCTCGTCGCAGTTCTCATGTATTTCAGCTTCCTCATTAATTGGTGGTACTTGTTCATCTTCTTCGTTTGAAGATTCTAAAGTAACTACTGTACCCAGAGGATTAACGACCTTCACGATTCCCGACGATGACTGAGGAGGAGGAAGTGGCGGCTTCATGGAAACAATGACGCAATGACCTCCTGCGCACAGAAAAAGCCAATGGCAGGTTACCACACACTTTACACAGTGCAAGAAAACGTCAACACAAGAAAAAATATCAGGTACTATACATGTAAATGTATTATTTTTAATAATATCAAAACGAAAGCAATTTTATTCGTTAATAAAAAAACAATCAGAAAGATAAAATGAATGTGTATAGTGTTTAAAATAAAATAAAACACTGAAAAACTAAAACCGTAAGATTGGAATAAGCAACAAATTTTATTTTACAACGTTATTTTGTTACTCAATAGGTACAAGAATTTCTTGTATGATGATAAATTAATAATGAACTTTTTTGTGATTTGTTTTGTTATGTTATAATTAAGTATTAATTTGAAGCACTATAAGAACAAAAGAAAAGAAAGCGATAATGTACAATGTGTAGTTAGGAACTGGTGAGTATGCCTGCCTTTGACAATTTCTGCACATACCCAAGTCAATAGCCCACTCTCTTTGCTCTTACGGATTAATTAAAAGTAATCAACATAATAATCATACATGAGCAATAACAATGTGCCAAAAAATAAACAAAAAAAGAATTATGGAAATATAAAAAGAAATGAATAGTGGCTTCAAAGATTAAAAGTTAAAACGTAAATATATTACAACGTTTAGTTTTTTTTTTATTACAACATATGCATAAAAATGTATTTTCCTATTGCAACATATTATTATTAATTAAGTAATGTGGAATAAATACAATTATATAAATAAAAGTTAACTTACCAACATCTCGCACAACTCCGGACGATTCCAGCATGGCATCGGCTAAGTCCTCTTTCAATCGGTTGTCTCCAGCCATTTTCGTGCTGTCGGTGCTACTGTGATGCATGTCAAATAACTTTGGCGACTGTTCGCAGCTACTCGCTGATCCAGATTCAATAACGACCGGATAAGTGGCACTAAGAGGCATATTGACAGGTTTGGAACGTCCCAAATCGATGGCTTGAGTTTCGTTTACAGAAAACGAAGTTCTAAATTCCAAATTATATATATATTAAACTTTCCAGAGTAAAAAATAAATATTTAACTGTAGCTCACCCGCTAGAGTTGTTGTAAGTTTTAAAAGTAAATTGAGGTCCCATCCAGAGTCTCCTATGCGGACCCGCATGCGTTACAATCTCCACCTGCGAAAGCCATTGGTCTTCTTCATATGCAGGTTTCTTTGGTCTCTTTTCCTTACTCGAAGCTAGCTTTCTGAAGACGAGCTTCAAGTTTTCATAAGTCAGGGGCAAAAGTTTGTCTGCGTGTCCCGGTTGTCGTTGTAAAGTCCACTGAGCTTTCGCAATCACTCCTAATTCAATGGGTGTCTCGTCGCAGACTTTCTCTTTCGGTATAGAAAGCAAATGATGAGGATCCAGGTCATACTGTAACAAATTTCCGTAACAAGACATGATAAAGAGAGACTCAACTGGCTTTATTTGAAGTTTATTGTTCAATGTAACGTCGGGAGGTTGCATCAAGTTGTCAAACCATGCGCGGGGAGGAGCAAAAGCCGTACAAACACGAAGGGCCACCTGCGTGTTACCATCTTCGGAACAAGAACCTAACCTTTGCCTACCTGTAAAAAATCTTAAGTAGACATTAATTTGCTTAGCAGTTGTAATATAACCTTGATGTTGTCTATGTTGTGCATTGGCGGCATTCTGAACGAAGAGAAGGGGCTGACGTATTTGTGCAAGGGGATGAACAACCGTTGGATGGGGGTAAGGTGGCAAACGAGGGTTGTGGTGAGGTAGATTAGAATTAACCGGCGCTTCGAACAAAGAAACCGGACTGTGCGATCTACCCTCTACATTAAGCCCTGCTGACCTGTGAAATCTAAACAAAAAACGTTTACAATACGAAAAATAATTACATGAATATGCCATAAAACCTTACCTGGACATCTTATTGACAACATGGGGAGATGCGTGTGTCCTAACACCGACGTTACCTCCATAAGGAGTCACAGGAAAAACGTGGGTGGTTCCCCGGAGCGTTGAGACGGCAACCCAGCGAGAATCAGGGGAAAATGAAACATTCTGGACACGAGCAGTTGTGTCACCTCGATGCAAAACGTACAGGTGATGAACAGCAGCAAGAGCTGGGCCTCCTGGATGGGGATGGATTCGGAACAGATGAAAGTCGTGTCCCTGTTTATCTGCTGTGAATAATATAAGTCCACTGGGGTCAAAACTCATGCAGACAATCGCTTCTGAATGAGCTACGAAATGGGCAACGACTCCTTCTGCGTCTAAGGTGCCATCATTTGAATTATGCTTCTGCAATAAATGAATAATATAATACTATAAATACAGAAATTCTTGTTGTTTACTTCGATGTCCAAAACCGTTACGATTCCTTTATGAACAAGATCGGACATATACGGGACGTTTGTGGATCCGACATTGCTCCCTGACAAATTCGGAGGTTTATACGGAGAATTTCCAGTTAAACTGCTGGCTACTGTTTCTCCCAATTCTCGTAGGCCCTTTCCCAGAGTTTTCGCAGCATGTATTACAGTCGCTGTGTAACTCTAAAAATAAAATTTCCATATACAAGAATAAAATATTTTTAAATTACACTTTTAACTGACTTGTATTCCCTCCCCTTCATTTCCACCACTACTTTTTTTGATATTTATTAGTTTCTTTTCTGCATATGCCATCCAACGCGTTCCTAAGGCAATGGGATTGGGATATATACCCGGACTTAAATAACAGGTGGTTACAGTTAATCGATCTTCTAAGGTAAACGCATCAAAGACTGCTATACGTTCAGCAAATGCAATTACCACTGACTTTCTATTTGCTAGAACATCCACAATGGGATTATTAAATTTAATTACTTTTACCTAAAAATTTAAGAAAAAGAAAATGTATAATGAGGAATATATTTAAATTTAAAGAGTTCAAACCTGTTCGCCACTTTTTAAAGAAAGGAAACTAAGAGAACAAANCACGGTATTTCTCCGCTTCTGATACCATTCTGTCGATGTCTTTCTGTGATAAGCGGCCTTTATCGTTCTTGATGGTGATGTTTTTCGAGTTTCCGGAGCTGGTATCTTTGGCGGAAACGTTTAGGATACCGTTGGCGTCCATGTCGAATGTGACTTCGATCTTGGGTACACCACGGGGCGCTGGTGGAATTCCCGTCAGGTCGAAGGTGCCAAGCAAGTTATTATCGTGAAAATAACTAACATAGTGATATATCAGTTCATATAAGCGAGTAAGTCCCCTAGCTTTTCAAGATATACATCAGGTACAAGATCTTTTTCTTCCTGTTTTTTTGACTGTTTCCGTTGTGTTGCCTCTTTGAAAGTTGTTATTCCACTTAAAACTAACATTGTTTGAAAACCACATCTTGTTCCCAATAAAATATCTGTGTTGCACCTGCAGTTATAAATTTGAATTATTTGTTGAAAATTTAATATTTTTGATGATTTTATGGGTCTATTCAAATTGTGTAGCCTATTAGGTGTCTTAATTGTGAGAAAAATAGCACTGTCTGCATCTGCTATAAGTGGAAGTAAGTTGTTTATAAAATTATTTTGGATTGATAGAACATATGAAAAGAGTGACCAAACTTCAATAACCCTGTATAAAACTTTTACCTGTCACCAATCATTAATGTTCTCTTAGGATCCATTCCATATTCATTTTTAATGAAGTCTGCTATATATGCTTCAGGCTTCCCCACAATAAACGGTTCCCTCTGAGCAGCAGTTTTAATCTAGCAATGATCTTTATAATAATGTTCATATGTATATATATAGAGATATGCAACAAAAAAAATTAAGTAAATTTAAATGTTTATACTTCGAAGTGTTTCAGTGTTGTTTTTAGGATTTTTGAGTTTCTTCTATTAAAAGGCAAAAAATTTACTCCTTGAAACTTTCCGCTAACGTTTTTTAAAGATAACTCCTTTTAAAATGACGTTACTTTTAGTACAGTATATTTATTCTACATACAAGCAGTAATCAGATCAAATTAGGCTCCAGTTGGAAACAAATATCATTTAACTTCAAAACCTACCTTGAATAAAACTCATACCTGCAAGCGAAACGTCTATTTTGGTTTTAAAACTAATAAAAACCTTTAGCTCTGATTTCTGCACATACATAGGCATTATACTGTAATAAGTCAGAAAAAATTAAATCTACTATTTTTATAGACATATTCATTTTTTATTGAGAATTACTTAATTCTTATATAAAGTATATGCGACCAGGAACATTCATGAAAAAGCGGTAAAAATACAAAACAAAAAATAGCGCACGGTTTTGATATTAATCGTTTCTTGTAGCTGAAGATAAAAATACCTGTATCAATTTGGCTAAAAAATAATTTACTGGTACACTAAACCAACCATCAGCATCTGAAAATTTAGTTTTTGTAAAACTGGGTGTTTCTATCTTGCTTAAATGGCATCGAAAACGAAAACATCGCAGACAAATTGTTTCACATGATTAGCGTTATATAAAAATTTATAATTATTTATGAGATTGAAATTTATAATAGCGCTTATTCAACATAAATTGTTGATAGGTAAATTATTCTCCATAAATAATAATCGACTCACTGGTATTATTTAACGTTTCTTTCATTTCAGTATTTCGCTTTTTGAAACTTCTATCTTCAAATTAAACTGGAAATTTCATTTTTTCAGAAGTTCATTATGAATAACGTCGAAAGCTATAATAATCATTATTTACATTTACAAAATCTGATAATTGTATTTTTCTAAAAATTTTCAACTTCTTACTTTATGGCAATGGAAATGCAAAAAAAAAGAATCATTCAAATCCACTCGTTATATCTGAGTTCTGTCATTTTTCATTCATACTGACCAATTGTATTGGACTAGTATGGTTTTAAAAATAAAAAACGCCAGTACATTCACCTTATGTATTACAAATTTGGCAACTGATTCAAATAACTCAGCATACTTGGAATACATCCACATTTATGTTTAGGTGTTTTTGTTCATTTGTTATCTAAAAAATAGCCATACCTGAATACCCGTTGCATATCCAACAACAAGTATCAATGGAGCAGAATGAGCCCTGTTAACATCAAAATTATCGAACAAACTTAATTCCGCATATTCCATTTGTTCAAACTTCACCCATTGAATTTGGTCTTTTGAGTCATTGTTTTGGACATTATAATTAGTTGCAACTTCATTAATAAAACCTGCTACGCTGTCCAAGATTGTAGGATCTGAAACCTGTTGAGGGGACACGACTACTAGCGATGATATGCTTGAATGTGAAGTAGAGTGTTTAGGGGAACCTGCTGACATGATGGCAACTTTATGTTCACCTAAGGAATAAAAAGAATACTTAGAAAACAGTAACAGCCCATTCTTACATCTGATCTTTCTAAAGATAATATGATATGAAATAAATAAATAACTTATAATACTGACCAGGTATATAGGTAATTACATCATAGGACTGTTATTAAACAAGTTGTAGTAAAAATAGAAAGTAAACACAAAAAAGAAGGGGACGCAACAATTTACATATTTTCAATATTTTAAAACAAATATACCAATAATACAACTATAATAGACCTACATACTTAATATTCTAGAATTCCAATACTCACTTCAAAAATACATTAATACTATTAATTAACTACTTCTTTGTCTTTTTTGCGTAGTTTATTTGCTGTCAACTGCACTACACAATATATATAAATACGTCATATTGTTTTGATAGAAACGGTCACAAGCTTTGTTCGTTACAGTTTATGTTAGCTGACGTATTTTAAGGATAAAAAAAACAAACATTAATTATTAAAATAACGCAACTAAAATACAGTTCTTTGTTTTCACAACGAACTTTTAATAAGACACTCCAATCGTAATTATCTGATTCCACTTCATTTATGTTATTAGTTTATTTGTCACAACAAAAAACAGCTGATTAAATTCTGACATTTCAAGTTACAGTAATAGTGAAAAAAAGTCGTTGTAAGCAAACGGTAATGTACAGTATACAGCAAAATATTGTGGCTTATATCACAGATTTTGAAATTTTGATGTTTCCCTTAAGCGAATATGTTTAAGGAATAGCAATAGTATGACAATGATTTATTTTAATGTTAATATTTATACAAATTAGTTTTTTATTCTTGTTTTACGTTTAGTAAACAAAATACATGCTAATTTGGTAGGATAAGACAACACAAACAAAGTGACTATTACTATGGTCATGTCCTGGTAATAAAACTTTGTTTTCTTGATTGTCCTGATTAAATATTTTGTTCATTTATTTTTGTTTATTTTAATCAGCATAACCTAGTTTTTAGCTATGCTAATCAGTATAAAATATTTATTATTACTGAATAACTATTAACAAATCCTGAATTTAAATTTTCCTACATTATTGTCTAATGTATCTAATCGATAACGACGGAATATAATTTGATCCGTTGATGGTATGCATGTAAAGATCGCCAAAATGTATCGAATATTTTAATATTCTTGTATTCAACGAAAACTTACTTTTCTCCCATTATGGTGGCCTTCTTTTTGCCTACATAACGTATAACGTGTTGATTTCCTATTGTTATGTACAAATGCGTACAATTTACAATACAATACAACATCTCTCTGCTTGTCATGGATATACGCAGCTTTCTATCTAGGGGGGGGGGACAAACGAAAAATATAGATAATTAAATATTTTTATACTTAAATTAAGTTTAATTCTTAAAAGGCGTCTTTTCAGTTTGAATTAATTAAAAAGTTGACAAACTCAAACATTTTCAAATATAGAAAATCTTAAAAAAAAATAGATTATAGTTTTTGTCACGTTTTTTTTTTCTTTAATTTTAAATTGTTAATTATGTTTAAAGCCAAACTTGTTCAATAAACTCCTGTTAAAATAATCAGCTTCTTTCAAATTTTGCACAAAATTTGAAATAATGAACTTTACATTTAGTTCCACTTACTTTTCGACTTTATCTTTTTTCTTCTTTAAAATGTTTAATTAAACTTCAGTACCTCTGTGTAATAGTGTTGATTACGTGAAGTTATAGAACACTTTTTAGCGGTATTTACATTTGGTAGGTACCAGCGAAAAGATGGTCGTCAATTTAAGATTTTTACATTTATGTTAATTGAATTCTGTCCAAAGTGTAAAACCGTATAATCCATTTATTAAGTGTTTTAAAAGTATAAAAAACAAAATATTCCATCAAAAATTATATGCAAGTGGGTGCTTGGGGAAGACACATATTATAATATGATCCTTTATCCCAAAAATTCATTCCTTTCCAACCACACCACCCTTTCTTCTGAATTATCTCTACATCTTCCGGTCCAGTGTAGTGAGGATCCAAAACAAGAAATTGAATGTCACCAGTTTTTCTATTATAATCTACACCTAAAATAGTATGAGCTAGAACTCCACCACCTAAAAGAATGTTTATTTAAATCACTTAAACGCGTTTAAAAGTCATTTTACAAAAAATATAACATAATATGAGTAAATATCTCACCATCAATTACAAATAATAATGTATTTTATATTTATACAAATCTTACCAATCATTATGGGGGTTCCTTGAGTTTTAAAATGGTTTATTAAATCGGGACCTTTTGTCGCTAATTCTTCGCCAGAACTTACGTAAATTATTTTAGAAGTTATCCCAAGCAAAGAATTTAAAACAAATGTAACTTCAGTGGAACCAATCCACTGTTTAGAACCAATAAAACTATTAGATTTATCGCCGATATCTACCAGACACTTTTGTATTTCATCAAACGTTGGTACAGGCCGACAGGTGTAACCCTGAAGAAGAAACCAAGAGGCTAACGTCTGCAAAGATCTATATGCACAACCCCATCCATTATCATCCATTTTATTTTGACAATAGTGATAATATAAATATTTTCCCCTCACAATGACAACTTCATTTTCTGAAAATTAACGTAAATGAAGGGAGAACGAAGGTAAAAGTAAATGAATATATACCAACCATTTCCAGTATGTATTAAACCTTCGTGTGGATTTATGAGAGGGCCACCTATCTGTATATCACTTCTAAATAAAAATACGTTAGATTTACGAAATATGGGCCGATTTACAGGCAACAACAACTGTTTATGAAGAAGACTTCGTTCTTCTTCTAGAAATGAAAACAATTTTATTATATAAAACGAACTAAACAGGAAATAATTCAATTTAAAACCTAAATCAATATCTGCAAAGTTCTTTGGATATGCTTTGGTGACGAAATGCCCACAACTTTCGGGATAAAAGTGATATATTTTTAGATTGGATATTTTGCCCTGTTCCTCAATGCAATCGGTAAAAAATTTAAAAAAAGCATTTTGTTGTAGCCTTAAATTTCGACACGAACTCTCCACTATTATATCATACAGATTCACAACTTTACTATCCACATGAACCATAGACAGAGCATCAACTTCAACCCATAACTGTAAGGACTGGAATGTTTCTATAACAATTGTTATATTATTTTCCTTCTTTTACATATATTAAAGTTTAATTACTTTTATCAACATGCACTACAGGTGCATGTAAAGTGGTACCTTCCACAGGAAAATCTCTTGTTGATTTTTTGAACATATACACTTCAATAACTTGCTAAACATACAAAATTTATCATTAATAATAATTATAAAATAACAAAAAATAATTTAAAATAAACACCTGTTGTATATTTTGGCCGCTTTTCCTTTTTCTCTGATTAATTTGACCTTCATTTGTGACATAGGATTCATCACACAATTCTCCAACTGTTGGATCCCCAGATAGTCCAATTAATCTGTTTTCTAAGTCATGACCTACCAAGTATACTTTTGATTTCTGGAAATTAAATGCAACTTGTCCAGAAGTAAACTGCTTTCTCAATGTTAGAAATGCTTCCTTGATTGCATCTATGTTGAGTTCAGTATAAATAGGCAAACTTGCCCTCAAACGAACATGAACAAATTCGGAATATATATTTGCTTGTTTGACAATTTCAAAATTTGCACTTTTCAGTTGATCATTAACAATAAAATAAGCTGAAATTGAATTCTCTAAAGAACTGTTAAAAGAAATATAAATAGGATTGTCTGTTATATCAACTTTTCTTAGTATATCATCCACTTTAACATTATTTTCTTCACTATTAATATCTATTACACCACAAATATCTACTTCAGTGGGCAAGGAGTTAATAATTTCGTCTTTCTCATCAGTTTCAACATGAAGTCCCAAAACAAGCAAAGAATTCTTGTAGAATATGCCGTGCAAACATCCTGAATAAGTGAAGTTGATTGTAGATAGTTTCTAAAACTGAAGACGTCATTTTCTTTTACACGATTATTTAAGCTTATATACTGACGTTAATAACAGCCTCGGATATTTTTAACGTATTAGCCATTATTGTTTAAAAGTAACCAGCCCACATATGGAACTTTAAATTGATTTTCGACTCTCCAAATTCTTTTATCGAACACTTGTCGACATTTTATTAAATATTATATTTGTAGTTTTATAGTATATACACAGGGCACACTTATATGCAAACGAGTACGCAAAACAACACAATTAATTTTTCATTTTGATCTGCAATAATCGCAATAATTGAAAAATGTAGTAATCAGGTGCATGTAGTGTTTGTCACTTTTGTTCCCATTTACATATGATTTCCATTCATTTCATTGGTTAAAGATTGCTACCATTTCTACTGATTGCTATGTTTCCGTTAGTTTGGTTTGGGGTTACAATTTAGTACCATATATTTTGACATACATATTTTGCTTATTTTGAGTCATAGATAATAGATCTACAAAGGGTTAGTTGTGTAAGTGTTTTGAGTTGAAAGGAATACGAGATATATAACATAGAGACGTATGTTATCTATGAACATGAACACACGTAAGACCATCGTAAGACGATCTGTACGTAAGTTGGGCAAAAAAGACGGAATCAACAAAATTATATCTACGGGTATTTGCAGAAGACCACAGATACAATAAAGTGCCACCGAATACATTTTGGAAATTCATACGAAAGATGCTTATAGAAATGATTATATACTGTTTGTTTTCCAACTGTATTTTACGAAGTAAATTATAGGAATATGTTGTACAAAAAGTTGTGTATAAAATGGTTATAAATGTTAAGATTCCATTTTTGGTGATTTATGGATGATAACGGTACATTTATGCGAAACTTAACCTGAGTCGTAGACTTAGGCGTAATCTAGTAAAAGATGATTCCTATAAATATATTAGAACTATTGTTTGCGTTAATGTCCATTGCAAGTACTATAGTAATGATTTTTGAAAAGTTTCTACCAACTTTTTTTAAACAAGCCATTCGATATGGCAAGTTTGCATATCGTGGTCCGTCATCGAAGCTTGCAGTTGAAGTCCCAAAATCTTGGTTTCGCCATTTTTATATCTACTCATCAGTTCTTACAATGTTTACCTTAGATATTGTAGTTCGTGTTTACTTTTTTGATGCATTTCCTCCAAAATGGATAGTGAGATTATTAGATGTGGTAGTAGATCCTCGAAGAATTGCAGTGGGTATATGCAGGATGTTGTTCATATTTAGCTCACAATAATACATTTTTTTTATTAGTTACTCCAACTTCAACACTACTGGCTATGTTTCTTCTTACGCTGCAGTGTTTAAGAAGAGTGTATGAGACTCATTTTGTGTCTGTGTTTGGAATAAATAGTCGAATGAATCTTGCACATTACTGTATTGGATATATCCATTATACTGGTTGTATCTTATGCATCTTGAGTTCCGCTCCAAAATTTGGACAACATGCTTGTATGTAAAACAATTAAATTGTGGTTTTGTATAATAAAATTGATTTAACAGACAGGTATCCACTGATACAACTGACTGATTTGTCATTTTTTGATATTATTGCTACATTATTATTTTTTTGGGCTTGGTTTCATCAGTATAAAACAACAGTCATTCTTGGAAACTTAAGAAAAAATGAGAGAGGTAAATATAATACTATTTAAGATTGAGAAAGTGCAATTTAATTAATATAAAGTGCTGAAGATGTCTTATGATGACTTGAGAGCAAAGATTATTGTGAAATATTCTGTATAATGAACTCTTGAAGATATATATCAAATTTCTACCTATGAGTTAACATTTACTTATATTGCATGTGATCATAAAATTTCAGTCAATTAAATGTATTTTGTATTTGTTTCCTTTTTTACAGGAGAGGTAATAACTCAGAAGCATAGATTACCTGAGGGCGATTGGTTTAATTATGTGGCTTCTCCCCATTTGCTTGCTGAAATTTTGATGTACATTTCTTTAACTATGATACTGTGGCAAAACACTTCATGGTTATTTATTTCTGCATGGGTATTGGTTAACCAGGTATAGTATAGTTTATTTATTTTTATATTGTAAAGCAAATGTGCCTGGTGAATATATTTTCAGATACAAACTGCTTTACTAAGTTTTTGGTGGTACAAAAGTACATTTCCAAGCTTTCCAGAAAATCGTAAGGCAATTATTCCGTTCATTTTGTAAATACAAAGTATTTTCTATGTTCATTCAATGTGACTCCAATATTAGGCTTTAAAAGATACATATATTTTTATATACTATTGAAATAAAATACTATTGTTTATTATTTGTTTTTTTAATTGTAACATCTTATTTTGTTAAAAGTACATAAACATAAAAGTCAAAAATGCAAAAGTTATTTATGTGGCTAAATAATATACAGTTCTTGCACCCAGATGAGTGAAAATAACTAACATAGTGATATATCAGTTCATATAAGCGAGTAAGTCCCCTAGCTTTTCAAGATATACATCAGGTACAAGATCTTTTTCTTCCTGTTTTTTTGACTGTTTCCGTTGTGTTGCCTCTTTGAAAGTTGTTATTCCACTTAAAACTAACATTGTTTGAAAACCACATCTTGTTCCCAATAAAATATCTGTGTTGCACCTGCAGTTATAAATTTGAATTATTTGTTGAAAATTTAATATTTTTGATGATTTTATGGGTCTATTCAAATTGTGTAGCCTATTAGGTGTCTTAATTGTGAGAAAAATAGCACTGTCTGCATCTGCTATAAGTGGAAGTAAGTTGTTTATAAAATTATTTTGGATTGATAGAACATATGAAAAGAGTGACCGGTATTTCTCCGCTTCTGATACCATTCTGTCGATGTCTTTCTGTGATAAGCGGCCTTTATCGTTCTTGATGGTGATGTTTTTCGAGTTTCCGGATTTTTAATGAAGTCTGCTATATATGCTTCAGGCTTCCCCACAATAAACGGTTCCCTCTGAGCAGCAGTTTTAACAGCAATTATAATAGTACCAGTTCCAGGAACTATATAATCATAACGATTTGGATCCTGTTCATCTGAATTGGTACCCACAAAAAGAACATCTGGATTACTTAGATAAGTAGCAGCTTTAAACATCTTAACATAACTGAAGTGTTCATCATCTCCTACTATTACTGCACCAATATCAGGATCTGCTTTAAATTCTTCAAGAGTATTTTTAAATGATGTCTGCACTGCATCAGGCTACAAGATAACAATAAGATTTTTAAATTTAAGGGTGGCAGTATACATACTCCAACTCCTATAGATTTTATTCCCACCAACTCCAATTCTTGAGATAAGGCTTTTGCACCAACCACATAAACCTTTTTCTGGAATCCCTTACTTTTTAAATATTTGGCAGCTAAATATGCAGTTGAAATAATATCATCCTAAAACATGCTTTTATTTTTTATGTACTATGGAGAAGTTACACTTTTTTAAGAACCTTTTCACATTTGAAGTTCATTTTCTTGGCCTTTTTAACAAAATCATCACGTATTTTACAGGAATTATTCGTTACGAAAAATACCCTCTTCCCTAATTCTTTCAAAGTATTTATCACCTCTGCAGAACCTTCAATTGGTTCTTCTGCTAGCCACAAAACACCATCACAGTCGGTTAAAACAATATCAAAAGAGTTCATAAACTGTGTAATTACTTCTTTAGGTTGCTTTACCAAATTTGTGAAAGACATCTGAAACATTTTTGTATTTAATTTATTCATCCACGATCCACAACTCACAACTGCTATTAATAATTTACAAATAACACATGAAAGACACGATTACCTGAACATGATCATGACACGGGACAAACAAAATTATGTTTACAGAATCACGAATAACACACGTTTTGTCTTTGACCTTTGTACTTGTATTTATTGCAGTTTGTTTACCGAAAAGTGTTTACAGTCGGCTGTTTACATTTTTCAATCTAGAGCTACATCTTGCAATCCTAACCTTCCTTAACCTATTTGAATACTAGTGTCCACTTATACCAATTTAACCAAGAGGACTTATTTGAAATAGTTACCACGTATGTGTAACATTGTGAGCATTTTCAGCGAAAAACTTGTGAAATAATATTAGCGTTTTTTCAAACTATTGTGGTTATTTGAGCTAAGTCCTCTTGGTTTAGTTATTCACTTTGTCCACAGTCTCGTTTTTGTTTAATTATAGACTCGTTAATATTAGTAAAACAATTATAAAATATTTTTTTAAGCAATATTTAAAAAAACATTTGAAGAATGTCCAAAAGAAAGAAAAAAAGATCAAACAGAAAAAAGAAAGAAGAGATAAAAATGTACGAAGGAAAGTCCAGCTAACATTATAGCAGATGTACATTTCCCAATTAATCCTTCTGAAGAAATAATTTCTAATATATTTTTAGAGGCTATTGAGGAACGTAATGAAGTGTAATATATTGTTACTTTTGGGATAATTAATTCTAAGTGTGATGTATAATAGCAGACTAATAAATTAGTAATTAAATAAGTAACTATTTTTTTACTCGCCACATTATGTACCTAATTACCGTCGCGTGATATAACACTTGTAATAGAAGTTTAAAATTTTCTCGATATATTTTGCTTATCGACATTTTCACATGCAAACATTTTGTTATGTTACTTTTTTTGTTTTAGAATCGTTTATGTTTTCGCTTTAAAGTTATTTTCCGTTTGCTAATTTTGTTATTCAATATCACATCAGTACCCACACTGTTGCTTATTTAATTTAGTCATTTTAGTAATTTATATATAAGTTAAAAATGAAATACAGGTTCTACCTGAAATTGTGGTTTATTGAAAAAACAAAATTTTGATTACAAAAGGCCGAAACTTATTCAATACTATTTCAACAAAAATGTTACATACTGAAACTATGGGAAACAAATTTTAGGGAATCAATGAAAAAAATTTAAATGGAACGATTCTGCGATGTGTGAACTAATTTTCTTGGAGACCATCGCCTTAGTCGACTTCCTCGATGGTTGGTCCTTGGTTCCGGTTGTTAAATCCTCCAGCTTGTTGACCGCAGCTTCCTCCAGGCATTCCTCCGCCGTAGGGATTACCACCGGGTTGTTGTTGACCAGCTCCGTGCAGCCTGGCCATGATTGGGCTGCAGATCTGGGTAAGTTGTTTCTGTTTATCTTCGTACTCTTCTTTCTCTGCTAAGGTATTCGAATCTAACCATTTCAAGCAACTATCACATTCTCGTTCGACAGTAGCTTTATCATCAGGCCCAATTTTATCGCCACAATCGCTTACAGCCTGTTTTATGTTGAAGATATAGCTCTCGAGTTGGTTTCGAGCTGTTATTTTTTCTCGTTGTTTTTCGTCTTCTTCACGGTATTTCTCCGCTTCTGATACCATTCTGTCGATGTCTTTCTGTGATAAGCGGCCTTTATCGTTCTTGATGGTGATGTTTTTCGAGTTTCCGGAACTGGTATCTTTGGCGGAAACGTTTAGGATACCGTTGGCGTCCATGTCGAATGTGACTTCGATCTTGGGTACACCACGGGGCGCTGGTGGAATTCCCGTCAGGTCGAAGGTGCCAAGCAAGTTATTATCCTTGGTCATCGCACGTTCACCCTCGAATACCTGGATGGTAACGGCAGGCTGATTGTCAGAATAAGTCGTGAATGTCTGAGTTTGTTTGCATGGAATGCGAGAATTACGTTCAACGATTTTCGTCATGACTCCACCGGCGGTTTCGATGCCCAACGATAAAGGAGCGACATCGACCAAGAGAACGTCTTGAATCTTGTCGCTGGTGTCACCCGTTAATACGGCGGCTTGTACTGCAGCACCATAAGCAACAGCTTCGTCTGGATTAATGGAAAGGTTGAGCTGTTTGCCGCAGAAGAAGTTCTGCAACAAGTTCTGGATTTTAGGGATACGTGTAGAACCGCCGACTAGAACCACGTCGTGGATCATTGATTTGTCCATTTTTGCGTCTGCTAATGCCTTTTCTACGGGGTGGAGGGTGCTGCGGAATAGATCGGAACATAGTTCTTCAAATCGGGCTCGTGAGATCTTGGTGTAAAAGTCTATGCCGTCAAACAGAGCATCGATTTCGATGGTAGCTTCGGTGCTGGATGACAACGTGCGTTTTGCCCGTTCTGCCGCTGTTCTAAGTCTTCGGATTGCTCTGATATTTGTACGTAGATCTTTCTTGTACTTGCGTTTGAATTCTTCTACGAAGTGGTTGACTAGTCTGTTGTCGAAGTCTTCACCACCGAGGTGAGTATCACCGGCGGTAGCTTTTACCTCAAACAACGAACCTTCGTCTATCGTTAGGATGGACACATCGAAGGTACCGCCACCCAGGTCAAATATTAATACGTTCTTTTCGCCTTTGAGATTCTTGTCTAAACCGTAGGCGAGTGCGGCGGCCGTTGGTTCGTTAATTATCCTAAGTACGTTAAGACCTGCGATGACTCCAGCGTCTTTTGTGGCCTGTCTTTGTGAATCGTTGAAGTATGCAGGTACTGTGATAACCGCGTCTCGGACTGGGCCACCTAGATATGCTTCTGCTGTTTCTTTCATTTTTGTTAGTACCATTGAACTGATTTCTTCAGGTGCAAATCGTTTGGTTTCACCTTTGTATTCTACTTCGATCTTAGGTTTGCCTCCAACGTTGACTACTTTGAAGGGCCAATGTTTCAGATCTTCTTGGATTTTAGGATCGTCATATTTTCTACCTATCAGTCTTTTTGCATCAAATACTGTGTTGGATGGATTTAATGCTACCTGGTTCTTGGCAGCATCTCCGATGAGTCTTTCTGTGTCGGTGAAGGCAACGTAGCTAGGTGTTGTGCGGTTGCCCTGGTCGTTGGCGATGATCTCGACCTTTCCTTGTTGCCACACACCCACGCAGGAGTATGTGGTTCCCAAGTCAATACCAATTGCTGGAACTTTCACCATTTTGATGCTTTGATAATTCACTTATATCACTCAATAAATATATCACAATGAATCGCTTTGAGATAGCTCTCAAAAAAGTCGCTTTGTATAACTTGTTTATACTCTCGTGTATTCGACAACTCTGAGCGGAGCGCGCGTGGCCTGCCGTATTTATACTCCCGGCACAATTGACTAGAAACCTCTAGATTATTCTCGGTCATGTCAGTGACGTCCTGCTTTTGTTTCTCTCTCTAGCTTCTAGTACATAGCAATTGGCATCTTTTTTACACAGATTTTCTAGAAATTCCAGAAAAATAGATGATTAGAAAACAATTATTAACAACAAAATACAATGCAAAAACTTGTATAAATTATATGATTAACGAAATCTAACTTTGATTTAGTGGAAAACTATTGTAAAATGAAAAATGAAAAGTAAAACAGTTGTAATTTGTAAGCTGGAGATAAACATTTTTATTATTTTATCAACTTAAACAGCTACATATGTTTCATCATTTTGTGCCGGCTTCTTCAGAAGTTACAATTTTGTTTAAAGATTCAATATTCATAAATTAGTAAATCTATTATTATTTCCAGCAACTACAAATTATAGTAGCAAAACTACGAATTGAAATAGTTTGAAGTATAATAGGTTATCAGTAATTTTCAAGCCAACAACTGAAAATTAAATTATAAATTTCATAAATGATCACATTAACGAATATTACTAGGAGTTGACTGGGATTAATCTTCTATAAGTAGTGTCAACTACCGTAAACTACCATAAACAAGGTCATGATAAGGTCAACTGTTTGTTTACAAAAAATAGTATGGACTTTTTAAAAAATTATAACTATTGATTATAACATTATATAGGTTTTCGTTTGTGGGAGTACCAGTAAATCATTTAAATATGAACTTGTTAAATAGAATAATTGAAAATTCATATTTTACTTGGAAGAAATATTTAATTTACATTGTAACATTTTTCTTCTTGTAGATAGTCATTCGATACTTGAACTTGGTTAATGAATATTTGCGTGTGCGTACACATTACGCAGTCAACTAATTATTTCAAATAACATACTAATAATTGCAGGTAAGAATCCTAAAACACAAATGCCCAAAACATTTTTACATATTATTTTTATTGGTAACCTCTTTTAGGTTTGAAATAAGTTAGAGACAAGATAAACTCAAATTTTAAAATAAAAGATAAAACTTGGAGAGTGTTGGGGAGATTTCAAACAAAGCTTTAAATAACCATGGAAGAAGTTGATTCAATAATAATTGATTCACTGAGAAATATTGAATGGTAGGAAATACTGTATGTTAATGATGAGAAAGTAAAAACTGTTAATGCATTTTTTTAGTGATGTTGACATCGAAATTCACAGTTTAAAAGATTTTGATTCAGAATTAATTTTTAATTCGTTTGTATATTGCTTAGAAGTAATAAATCCTGAAATAAAGTTTCCTCATGGATTGCCTCCTTCTATGAGTCTACGGTTAAAATTAGCAACGAATATTGCTGAATGTATAAAAGATTTGGGTTATAGAGGTGACATGGGTTATCAGACAATTCTATACTGTGATGAAACAGAGTTAAGAAGGGTGTTAATGTTTCTAATTGAACGAATTCCAAGGGATAATAAAGTTACTAACAAGGAAAAAGAAGAAGGTTTTATCTGTACTTTTTATCAACATTTTACCAGAATTTTTTTTGTTGCATTTGTTTAAGGCTATGTTACTAAGTTAGTAAGACAGATTGAGAAAAAGATACAGGAAAGCTTGCATAAACCATGGGTACCAAGTGAACTATTAAAATTTGGAGTAGACGATACAGAAAAATTGATCCTCCGTCAAAACTATGGAGAATGCTTTTCTTTTCACACTGAAGTTGTTAAATTACCTAAAACTCTGGAACAGCATTCAGAAAGTAAATTTTTAATCAGTGCATCTTTAAAAAGAAATCAAAAAAGAATTAGGAATTTTAATCTATTTTATTGAACAAATACTTTATTAAATACTATACAATACTAGTTACTTAAGTGGATTTTTTAGTACTGAAGAATTATTGGATACATAGTCTTCCAAATGTCACAGAACAATGTAGTTTTTATAAGTTAGTACCATCTTTGCTTTTTTCTGATGCTAAATTTTTACAAAAACATTTACTAATGAATAAGTATGATGTTATTAAAAACCTTGTGAAGGAAGATACATTAAAAAAATATGAAGAATCATCAGATAATAATATAGCAACTTTAAGGCAAGTTGCTAATGAAAACATTGATGAATATGAACATCAAACTGAAAGTAAATTGCCATTGGAGGAGGAGATGGAAAGAATTATTCAAGAAATAAAAGCAATTAGTAAAAGTAAACTTGTTATGGAGAAAGAAATCAAGACTGCTGGAGCTAAATTATCACAAGTATTACAACTATGACATTTTAACTATTAGGTTTACTGCAATGTTTTCTAGATTAAAGATGATGTAATTCAACAAGGTGAACTTTTAAAAGAATCTCAAGCAAAAGTTCAGTTAAAGAAAAAAGCGCAGGCTGTACTTTCCAAACAAGAAAATCTAATTAAGTTGAAGAAAATAGTTGAAAGTGGTTCTGAAAGGCTGGTAGAACTTGCTAACCAATGGCATTCTGTACAGACCCCATTATTAAATGAATATAGATCTTTGATAAATAATCATAGTGATCAAGAAGTAAGTTAAACTTCAACTAATACTTCATTCTTACATTTATATCAAGTTAAAGATTTTGGAAGAAAATGAAAAGTTGGAAAAGATACAAGAGAAAAATAAACAAATTGTTAATGAAATTAAAGAAAAAGAACGATTGGAACAGCAACTTTTGAATGAATTTGAAAGGATAAATAAAAACGTTAATAGGTATAGATAATTCTCATAAGCAAGTTAACTTATTACTAATTAACTTAATACTAATTACTGATTGTTTATAATAATATTCATTTAGATCAGCATACACAAAAAGAATAATAGAAATAATTGCAAATATTAAAAAACAAGAAGAGGATATAAAGAAAATTTTAAATGACACTAGAGCTGTACAAAAAGACTTGAATAATTTGAATGGGCAACTTGAGAGATCGTTCACATTAGCTGATGAACTAATTTTCAGGGTAAGATTATGTACAAGCATGATTTGTCGAGTAATTTTTGTTTTGTTATTAATTTTATTACAAACAATGATATTTCCAGAATGGTTTACTGCAAAAAATTGAGCAGTAGAATTCTTGAAATGTATTATATAGTATAAAGCTAAAACTGATCGTCCTTAATAATTCGTTTTTAGTAATTTGTATTGAGTTGAGTAAACAAAAATAAATGGATATAAAAAGAAAAGCGTGGTGGACACACACACGTCGTTGGATTTCTTAGACGTTTACCAATTTTGAGCCAATTATTCCAAAATTAATAATTTTTAATTGAAAATACTTGAGTAAATTTACCAGCAAAATATTTGTCACACATTTAATCTCGTTTTCATTAATTTTTATTTTTGAGTGGTATTTGAAAATATATGGTTAAGGAAGGCATATACACAATAAGGTTCATTATCAAGTTTTTGTTTATGCTGTTTCCTGATATACTGAGGTTGACTACATTGCAGAATAATATAATGATATGAGCAATTTATTTCCTTTTAGGATGCAAAAAGGGAAGAAACAGCTAGAAAAGCGTACAAGTTATTAGCAACTCTTCATAGTGAATGTAACCAAATTGTCCAAACAGTAACTGATTTGGGCGTAATGGAAAGGGAAGCTAGAAATTTACAAGACCAAGTTGACATAGAGCTTAGTCGAGAGACAGCATCTAAATTAGAAAGAGTATTATATGATTTATCAGAGGTGAAGAAGGAAAATGAAATTCTTGCCAAACAAATTAGTAAACAACAAATTAACTAATGAAAAGAAAAATTGTACTGTTTCTATTTTTAAGGGGTACTGTAGTGTCCTTAACAAAATGTAATACTTATATTGATGACATGCAATTGGTATTAAAAGTAAGTTCTAGTTAATATTATGAAATATTTAAATAATTGGAATTATACAAGTTTTGCATAATTTTTGACTAAAAAGTATTTCTTAGATTTCAATAAAAATGGGAAAAGAATTGCAAGAAAACAGATTCAAAATGTATTTTAAATGACAAAATTATACACCTAACAAATTATTTATGACTAAGATGCAGTTTTTCTTTGTTTTACTTCTGGTGGAATATAATTTTCATCCATTTTCTTTTCTTTTTTAGTTAGAAAGTTTGTGTTAGTAGCTGCAAGAGCTTCATTAGCTTCAATCTGCAGTTCAATTTTGTCCTGATTTTCGAAAAACCACAGGAGCTTTTCTCTTTCTTGAAGAGATTTCTGTGTTTCTTCAATATTAAGTAATCTTTTTGCATTTAGATATCTTTGATTTTGTTCATCCAGAAGTCTTCTTCTATCATCAATCCATTGAGCATAAGTGTCACACTGACTAGCAATGTCTTTCTCAGATGTGGTTTGTTCAGCTTTTTTAACTTTTACTTGTAAAAGGTTTTGTAGATCACCGGTTTGAGTAGAAACAGGAGATAATTCACTTTTGCACTGATTATCATCTGGTACTAGGTCTAGAGTTGTGTCAAATATTGTTTCATTGTTTTTCTTCAATTTTGCAATAAACTGCTGCAATTTGTCCTTGTGGTCCCATAAAGCAAGACCTACTGCATGAAGGGATTTCTCTAAAGTATCTCCTAATGGTTTTGTAGCAAGGACTAATGTTTTGCCAACAATTTTTAGAGGATCCCTGAGATCAAAGTGATCATCATAATAGGGATTCCTTAAATATTTAACACGAACTTTTTTTTCTTCTACAGGTTCTTCTGGCAAAGGTGGTTTAGGCCATTCCTTTGGTTCCAATAAGTAATTATAACAATGTAAGAGCGATAAAGCGGTATTCAAGGGATGTGAGAAATCTTCTTGTAACATAAGTTGACTAGCAGTTCTAGCACCAGACAGATAATCTTTTTCTTTCCAGAAAGTATCAAGTAATAAATTAGTGGTGTAGTAATCTAAGAAGATTCCATAGTTTAGACGATCATCCAGCACCTGCAGTAAAAGATCGTTTTGTTTTTCCTTCAGTAAATTTCGTACTACGGCATGGTGGGTAGATTCTAACGTATTCTTTGTTTCAGCACTTAATCGAAGTTTATGAACTAAATCTAAAAGCTCATCAAAATGTGTACGATTGTTAACCGCATTTGCAAAAATATCTACATCCACTGGGCTTATATTTCTAATTTTTTGATATTTTAAATCAAGTTCATTATAAAATACATCTAAATCAACCTTTTTAATGATAGGATCTGAGAGTCTTTGTTCCCATATTTCATTACAATAATATGCTTGTGACAGAAACGTACGATTAAAGCACTTTTTTAATAACGGTTTACTTATAAGAAAAACATGTTGAGTTTTTGAAAACACAAACATGTTTGTAAACTAAAAAACTATTTACTTCAATTGATGATGTAATCTAACCTAAATAACCTAATAATCATTAATATGTCATGAAACATGTTTGACCATAGACAAATATTTGATATAGCTTCCCGATCCCGATACCCGATATACCAGAATCATAGATAAGAAAACGAAAAAGGCTAATACTTATCTATGGGCTAATAACTTTGGTTCAAATCAATGATCAGTTCAGAATTTTATGGTTAGGTGCACAATTTAAATCTGACATTTATGGGGGAAACTTCTTAAAAAAAGTATTATATTTGTATAATGGGAGAGTTTAAACTGCACCATCTTATAAAAGAATTATTAGATGTTGTAGGGTAATGTATAATCTATTAAGTATATAATTGAAACTAGTAAAGTAAATTTATTCGTAGGAGCAAAGAAAAAGAAGAATTTGTTGAGGTAGTAGAATTTCTTCAAAATAATATTTCAAAAAATACAGCAAATCCTCAGAATCGTAGTAATGTGCTTCATCAAATTCAACAATTAAGTCAACAGGCACCTAACCCTCAAAATTTTTTAGCAAAATATGAAGAAATTAAACAGAAAAAGTAAGTTGTCATAGGAGGTTGTTGATTTTCAGTTAAATGAAATTTAAATTGTAATTGCAGTGTTGATTCGTTAAATTCATATATACAGTTGCTAAATTGTATTTCTCAAGATCAAACTGTGAAAGATTTTTTAGCTGCTACTGCTAAAAAAAATCCAGGAACACATAATGATACTACTTCATCAGGGGGTAATTCACAATTATTTACATCAACACCACTTACTCATGATGAACTGCAAGAGGTGTATTTATTACATTTTAATCATTTACATTCTTTGATACAGTTTTAATTAAATAGGTTAAAAGCCGTTTGAAACAAGCTATTATTAAGCAGTCTCCCTCAAGAGAAGTTGAAAGAAGTAAAATATTAAACAAGAGTAGTGTTATTCCAACAGCAAATACTCCTTCTATTACTTCATGGGTTCAAAAGAGACCCAGTATGTCCTGGGACTTTTCTTGTAATGCTGTTGCTAATATACGAAGTGCACCTATTTCAAATATTCCCCCTGATTCTCAAGAGAATATACTTTTGGAGGATCTCTTAAATATTTTAATTGGGGTACCAAGTTGTTATATTAGACCTGTACGTTTAGTTGATCCTTATGCTCCAAGAGATTTTATTATTGATGAGTCTATTGAGATGACATTAAAAGAACTAGTAAAACAAATTTTGCCTTTAGCTTCATATTTTTCTGTAGTTCAAAGGTTTACTGAAGAAAAGATGCGATTTGAGTTTGGCCAAGTGAATAATGCACTTGCTGAGTGTATGTCTACATTTATAGTCGATTACACTGTAAGTTTTTTACATTTTTATCTTCCTTTATCTAAGTTTGATTTCTATTGTAGCTTTTTATAACACAGTTAGAGACTGAAGCCCATATGGGGAATTTAAATTTACAAAAAATGTGGTATTACATTCAAAAGAATTTGCATGCTATGTCCATAATGAGCAATATTGCAACTACAATTAGTAAGGTACATTTCTTTATTTTTTAATATCAAAACTAAAATTATTACAATATGTATTGCGAATTTTAGTCTGATGCAAAAGGCGGAAAAGTTCTCAGTTTGCTCCATGAACATATTACAGGATTTATTGGGGATGCAAAAGCTCAAGAAGTGTGTCTTCATTTTATACAGGCCGCTTGCGTTCCTTATATGAAAATATTAGGAATGTGGATTTACAAAGGAATCATTGCAGATCCTTTTAGAGAGGTGAATTAAGTTCTCATCTAATTTTTGCGTTCAAATAGTGGATATTTTGAAGAAGGCTTGATATTTGGGTTTCATGCATGAGAACATAAAGTCATTTAGTGTGATTGTGTCAAGAATGAGTCACTGAAATAAGGAAGAAGGAGAACCAATCCTGGACCATGGGCATCAAGCCGAATATCGAGTCCTTTTCAGTTAACTTCGTCCGTGTTTAGTCTTTGCGATAGAATATTATGTTTTACATATAATGTTTTTTTTTTAATTATTTTCAATCTTTGTATATAGTTTTTGATAGAAGATAACGAAATTGTTCAAAAGGAGGACATGCTCGTTGATTATTCGGCAGATTACTGGGATAAAAAGTACACAATTCGTCGAGAAAGTATACCAAAGTTTCTTGAACCTGTGGCTGATATAATTTTATGTGCTGGCAAATACTTAAATGTTATAAGACAGTGTGGTATGTTTTTGTTTTTTATTTAAAATTTTTTGCTAATGCTTTACTAATTTAGGGAAGCCAATCAACAATAAAGTTCATGTTATTGAGTATAAAATCGACGAAAAACACTACATTGAAGCGATAAAGAAGGCCTATAAATTTGCTAGTCAAACATTATTAGATGTGTTGTTTAAAGAACATGACCTTATGGGTAGATTAAAATCAGTTAAACATTACTTCCTACTTGACCAGGGCGATTTTATCGTTACGTTTCTGACATTATGTGAGAAAGAACTGAATAAAGATGTTGCTGATGCTATCCAGGTCCGAATAGATTCTCTTTTGGATCTTGCCTTGAGACTGTCAAGTTCAAACAGTGATCCTTACAAGGACGATCTTAGGACTGAACTTCTTCCTTATAATCTCCAGTGTCAAATGTTTAGAATACTCAGTATTTTAACTGAAGATGAAGAAGGTACGATGTATTAGTTTGATTTTTGAATTTCCTAATACTAATAAGTAACATTTCAGAATATGCAAATATTGAACAGAAGAGTTTGTCCGTAATAGAGTCTTTCGCGTTTAGTTATGAAGTGTCGTGGCCCTTGTCTTTAATATTAAACAGGCGATCGTTGGCTTGTTACCAAATGATATTTCGGCATTTGTTTTATTGTAAACATATCGAAAGAATGATCTGTCATGTTTGGAGGGCCAATAAAGTGGTTAAGGGTTTTCCGAGGTCTGTTGCTTGTCAATACCATGCAGCGTTCGCGTTGCGACAACGAATGTTGCATTGTATTCAGAATCTCGAATATCACATGATGGTTGAAGTTATCGAACCGCATTGGTGCACTCTCATGCAGGCCATGGCGAAAGTAAGAAAATTTTAAAACAAAATTCTTATTTCTCAAAATCAGTTGTCTGAATGAATTGTCTTTGGGGCTGTAGGTCTTATTTTTTTATTTGGAAATTAATGTAACTTTCAATTTTATATTTTGTGTATAAACAAGTGCAAAAGTAGTATCTTATATGTATTTTTATTCATTCATTATCATTTTTGAAGTTATATTTCTTCTGGGGCGTTGAGAGTAAAATTTTAGCAGCGAGGGAAAATTGCGTGTGCACAGCGCATTATGACCGGTCACTAATCGAAGCAAATGATGATATTATTTAAATGCTAGATGCTAATACTGCTATNATAATTATTATTAAAGTTTTTAGTTATGTTAAAGAAAAGTAACTTCCAACCCGTGTACATAAGTACACCCACTATGTTTTTAGGATGTATTGTTTTTTGATCTTTAATTTTTTTTTAAATGTTTCACCCTTATTTCTTTCTCTGAAACAGAATAATTTTAAAGTGATTTTTGTAGGTGGGTAATGTCGATGGGATCTTGGCTAATCACACGGACTTTTTAAACGCTTGTCTTAAAGACTGCATGTTGACAATACCTCGGTTACTAAGTACCGTTAATAACATCTTACAAATATGTGCAAGGTTTTGCAGATTCATGCAGGTGAGCTGATATATGTATTATTTATTTATGTGAGGTATGTTTTAAATATCAAAAACAAAGCGCTCTTTTGAATGTGTGCATTTAAGGAGTAGTTAGTGCATTATACCTTACATAACTTTTGTGCGGAATAAAAAATCAGTACAGTAAAAAGAAAAGTTTATTCCTTAAAAATCCGACACTGACATTTTGATCTGGTAATTATCTGAATTACATTCAACTTTGACTATCTATAATTGTTTTGTAGTACATCGGAAAGTTTAACTTCATATAAACTTAATATGGACAATTTTGAAAATGTGCAAACTCAAAAGTCTCCTTCAAATTCACTTTTGAATGAGGAATTAAAAACAAAATCTGCCCGAATTTTTTGGGCTAGTTACTAAGTGCAGTGGTCTAATACCTGTACACGGGCTATATTATTTATTATTATAAATGCTGGTTCTGTTCTTGTATCATATTAATATGTTGGCTCAAAAATCTGCTTTTAGAAAGCTTTCTACCTAAAGGTGGATCGTCGGTGTCGGCTTTTAAAAGAATAGACTATTTTTGCACTGTATTGGCTTCTATTCCACACATTATACAACAAGGGAAAGAAATGGAAACTGCATACATACCTCATTTCATAATATTGTATTTGACAAAGAATACAGTTTTCTTTTTTTCTACAATAGCTCTCACAACGGTATTTTGTGGAAGCAGAACTTGGTACTGTACCAAGCTCTATGATAGACTCTTTTTGTCAGGTAGAATTAATAATTTCTTTACTATTACATGTACAGCTTGTCTTGACCATCAAATAGCACATCTTATTAGCATGATGTGTAGTGCCATTATTGCTTGTTTTTTATTTACTAAATTTTGTACGTGTTTCCACATACTATATGCTGGGGTGTGTCGAGAAGACAATTTTTTTCTAATTATAAATCAAAAATTAGTTGAATTATGAAACTATCACGCTGAAAGAAAAAAGTTGCAATTTTCGGTACATCCCATTCTGTATTTTATAGATTAGACGATTTGCTTTCTTCTAGATAAATGTGTCTGTGTTGAAGACTAAATCAGTTAAAATAGTAATAATTTTATTTTATGTTTCATTGTACGAAGCTTTGGGTTACCATCAAATTAAGTCAACATTGCTGAATATTTAGTTTTCTTTAATATCGTTTCTGATGGCAATTGAATTGTTCAAAAATGAATCTGTGTATAAATAAAACATGTTTTCTTATAATCGTTGTGTTAACAGACGGAGTTTCCTAATACTGTTAATAATACAGAAGATGGTCAAAAGATGGCTAGTTTTGCAGAAAGTGTATCCCAATTAGATTTTGAATTTTCCGAATATTTAAAGGATTTGCTGGATCAGATCAGCAATTTGAATAAAGACACCAGTGAACATGATAGATTATATAATTTACTTTACAGGTAATACATTGTATAAATTAACTTGCTCATTGTTTTGATAACGATTCTTTTTTCAAGATTGGATTTCAATTCTTACTACTCCTGTCAGTTTGAATCAGGTGGGTTTAACAAGAATAAAACTGGATAAAATCAAATATAGGCGAATCTCAATTTAATTTATTTTATAAATTTTTAAGTAAATGTATTAATTATTATGGTTGCATTGCTCGAACTCCCAATGGTCCAGTAGTTACAAGTATTGTTCTCATTAATAAACTTTTTTACTTCTTATGCTTTTTTATAT